GTCGGGCAACCCTGCTTTAAAAAAGTACAAAAAATGAAATAATTGTACAAGATGAAGCAATCGTGTTAAGTGAATACATTTGAAATTTAGTGTGGAATTTAATGTGAAATTTGAGTGGAATATTAGTAAAATTTAAACTAGAGTTAATTTGCATACAAATAGTTCTTTGATGTGAGCAGCACGTTACGATTTGATCATGGGTCTGGTCGTGACAGTTCATGTGGTCTCCTTTCATTTACAGCCAAACAGATAGCAACCTGTTCACGTATGTTAGATAATTCATGAATACTCCTGTTGAAGTTTAACCATAAGCCTTCGAGTATTGGACTTGGCAGCACTTTGTCCGACGTCTGTCATCCGACGTTTTGTCATCCGACGTTTGCCGTCCTGCCATCCGACGTGTGCCGTCCTGCCATCCGACGTCTGTCGTACGACCTCTGGAGTCTGCTAGTAGCGTGGGACCTGCCCTGGGACTAGCGTGTGCCCTTGATAGTGAAGGTGAGCCCTATGAGTTGTCGCAGTTCTTGGCTCATGGCGTACGTGTTGCTGTCCTGAGTAATCCTAAAAGAACCTTACATCCGCTAAAACCTATAACAATAACTTATAACTAAAACTGAAAACTTATAACTATAACTGATAACTTATAACTAAAACTGATAAATATAACTATTACCTTATAACTATAACGATAACTGTATCCAACTTATAACTGAAATTGAATTCCTCTTTTGCACCCACAGCTTCACGATCGTCAGTGGCTGGGAGCGTACGCTGTCAGAAGTTCCTACCTACTGGAGCCTGAGATACAGGTTTCGCCTACTTCTGTGTTCCAGTTACCTATTTCAATAAATATATTGAACTAGTGACATAGTCACTATATTTTTTCAACCCATTTGTTTTTGTTAGCTAAATTTATTAGTTAAAAAATTTAAAATCACCATTTAAATACATAGTCCATTTACCTGAACGAACATTATTTTCTCTAAATTTTGAGCTAAAATGTGCGTTTGTGCTAAATTTACCCTTTAAATGTATTAATCAAAACAAAAATACATAGGCCCCTTATTTTTAAGGAGCATTCGTTTGTCTAAATTTTGAGCTAAACTAATATGCGTTTTGGCTAAATGTACTTGCTATAAATAAATAAATCAAAATTAAATATACGTAGGCAATTTACTTTAAAAGAGCAATATTCTCTTTAAATTTTGAGCTGAAATAATAATGTTCTTTGGCTAAATTTACGTGTTGAAAATAATGAAATCAAAATTAAAATCCATAGTCAATTTACCTAAAAAGAGCAATATTTCACCTAATTTTGAGCTGAAAAGAGCTTTTTGGCTAAATTCTCGTCTTAAAAATATTAACATCAAAATTAAAAATATACAGTCAATTTAGTTAGAAAGGGTATTCTGTTTTCTAAAGTTTTAGCTTAAAAATGATAAAATCCAAATCAAAAATGCATAATCAATTCACTCATATAGAGCATTATTTTCTCTAAATTTCGAGCCAAAATATTGCGCGTATTGGCTATTTATACACGTTTAAAATATTCAATATACGTATAGTCAATTTACTTAAAAGGAGCATTATTTTCTCTAAATTTTGAGTAAAAATAATGTACGTTTTGGCCAAATTTTCGTGTCAAAAATATTCACAATAATATTAAAAATAAATTGTCAATTTGCTTAAAGAGGACATTCTTTTCTCAGAATTTAAGCTGAAATAATGGGCCTTTTGACTAAATTTAAATGTTAGCCATATTTTCATCAAATTCAATAATAAAAAGTTAATCTACTTATAAAGGGTAATATTTTTTTCTAAATTATGAGCAAAAATAAATTGTATTTGGCAAAAGCGTAGCGTTAAAGTAAAAATAATCAAAATCAAATATACATAGTCAATTTACTTAAAAAGGGTATTATTTTCTTTAAATTTGTAACTAAAATAATGTGCGTTTAGCAAAATTGACGCGTTAAAAAAATAAAAATCAGAATTAAAAATACATATTCAATGTACTTAAAGAGGGCATTATTTCTCCAAATTTTAAGCTAAAATGATAGGCGTTTCGGCGACATTTATACATGTTTGAAAAATTAAAATCAGAATTAAAAAATACATAGCCAATTCACTTAAAAAGAGCATTAATTTCACCAAATTTTGAGTTAAAATTATGTGCGTATTGGCTACAAATACATGTTTAAAATATTCAATATGTAGTCAATTTCCGTATATGAGCATTATTTTCTCTACATTTTTAGCTAAAATAATACGCGTTTTTTTCAGAATTTACGTGTCAAAAATATTAATTTCAAAATTAAAAATACATAGTCAATTTACTCAAAAAGGGCAATATTTTCTCTGAATTTTGATCTAAAAAAATGTGCGTTTTGGCTAAATTACCGTGCAAAAAATATTTAAATCGAAATTAGGAATTCGTAGTCAATTACCTGAAAATAGCATTATTTTCTCCGAATTTCAAGTTAAAATAACGTGCGTTTTGGCTAAATTTAAATGTTAAAGATATTAATATTAAAATCCAAAATACATGGTCAATTTACTTTAAAAATCCATTTTGTTCCCATTTTTTTTAGTTAAAATAATGTGCATTTTTGCAAAATTTCCCGGTTAAAAATAGAAAAATCACGGTTTAAATTACATACCTAGTTAATTTACTTTAAATAAGCATTATTTTCTCTAAATTTTGAGCCGTAGAAATGTGAATTTATTTAAATTTAGGAGTCGAAAATATTAAAATCAAAATTAAAATAAATAATCAATTGACTTAAAAAGATAATTGTTTTCTATGAATTTGAGCTACAATAATGCGTGTTTTTGCTAAATATACGAGTTAAAATTATGAAAATCAAGATTATAAAGGCATAGTGAATTTACTTAAAAAAATATTTTTTCTCTATATTTTGAGCTAAAATGATGTGCGTTTTGGTTAAATTTTCGTGTTAAAAATATTAACATCAAAATTAAAAATATTCTGTCAATTTACTTAAGAATGGTATTCTTTCCTCTAAATTTTGAGCTGAAAAGTGTGCGTTTTGGCTAAATTTATGTGATAAAAATATTAAAATCAAAATCTAAAATACATAGTTAATTCACTTATAATGAGCATTATTTGCTCTAAATTTCGAGCTAAAATAATGTTCTTATTGGCTACATATGTTTAGAGTATTCAATGTATAGTCAATTTAGTTAAAAAGAGTATTATTTTATCTAATTATTAAATTATTATTATTATTATTATTATTATTATTATTATTATTATTATTATTATCAGGCTCGTTCCTCTAATTTTTCTACATCGTCAGAATGACTTATAATTGCGGTCGAATTTTGTTAGTTTTATTCGAGTTTTAATTTTATTCTAAAATTAGACTGCTGATGAATTTTTTAAGCATTGACAAATATGAGTTTGATCGATAGATATTCATGCTCTATTTGCCGTTCCCAAACATCGTACCTAACTCTCGTTGAACATTTTGTACGTAAAATCTAGTTATAACATAACGAAAGAGCGGTCATCGTTATGTGTTGGTGGTTTCATTCGTGGAATATTCAAATCAAACGTTGTTTGAACACAAAGACAAAGACGTGTTCTTCAGGTGGTCACTGGCAATGTTTTCGAGCTGAACACCTGCTTCGAAGCAGTAAATTAAAGTCGAGGTTATTCAATTTTCATGGCACGTTTGTTTCGCTCAGATCGCGCTCCTCTCATTACAGTGAGCGTACAATTCATTGAAATAATAAGAAATTTTCTAGATTTTATTGCTAATAATCGAAAAGCTTTCACCATTTCGTTATTAACTTTTAACTCGCAACGCAAGCGAATAAGTTTCTTATACATTCCTGTTGAGGTTTGAATTTTCTATCATTCTTCTACTCTGAATTTTTCATTCATTCTTTTACTTTGAAGAATTCTCTAACATTCTTTAAACTTTGGCCTCAAAAAATGCTACAGAGATGAAATCACTACGGAAGTTTTCATCCCCATCTACTCAAGTTCATGCAATTTCGCATGAAAATAATGTAGAGCATGAAAATTGCTCTATATATATTAACTCAGCCCCAAACAGTAGTTTTCAAATTTGCATTAAAAATTTTCTAACAGCAATGTTTGAAAAAATTCAGTTTGAGAAAAAAATTGCTCTGGAAATTTCCATCTGAAAATTTTCAGCTTCCTCCCGAGAACCTAAGTTATGTACGGCGTTCGAACGTCGCCATCTCATAAATTCCCCGCAGTTTAACTTTTCAATTTTGCAGTGACTTCAATATTTTGCAAAAATTTCGATTAAGTTCAATAAATTTCAATTTTGCAGTGATCCTTAAATATTGTGCCACCCACCGAGCAACCAGGTTTACTTGCTGGTTGAGCTTGTGTCAGAGACATCAGTATGGTTTTGAATAAAAAAATTTGGAGACCTTGTATCCGCCAACCCAATGAACGTAACAGTAATGTTGGGGCAATATCTTCGAGCAGCAATATCGGCAGCTGCAGGATCGCTAGTAACAATATTATTGACAGTAGCAGTTACGTCGTTTGGCTTATTTTGGAGGGCTCCATATGCTATTTATTCATACATATTTGATTCACATGAAACTGATTGATTAATATGTTTTATGGGGAACACAATAGTATTTGAATGTAATTTTAAGAGCATACAAATCAAAATTATTCGCGTAAATTATAGAATCGTTTTCATATAAATTTTGATTGAACCGTGTGTTATAAAAGAAAAGAAATTCCGATTAATCTACGCACAAAAAAATTCTTTGTGCCACAGAAAAAATAATATTTACTGTAATGTAATAATAATATATTTGAGTAATAATATTTTCATTTGAGCAATCTTCTGGATGTGCGCAGTTACTGTCGAATGTACGATGTGGAAAATAGCGAAATTCAGAACTAAAATGCGAGGTTGCCAGACGCCACAAGTGCCGACATCAGATCGAGCGCTGGACGAGCTTCTCCTCGCACATAACCAACACCTGCCATAGAGTGAACAGTAAACTTCTGAGTGCTCCACTGATCGCGTTACTGGTCTAGTCAACTTAGAAACTTGGCATTAGTATTGAAGTTGTTTGAAATTTGTTTGGTACAGGTTTTAATATTTTCACGGCAAGTATTAACTTTTATTTGTTTTGATTTTTGTGTGACATAATTTCTATTCCTTTTACAGATTTATTGTTTTTTTAATGTTAATACTGAGAAACGATTGACTACATATGTGATATATTATACATTGACAAAACTTGTATATATACAAGTTTCATGAAACTTGTACAAGTTTCATGATATTGAATCCTTGACCTGAGAGTTCATTGAGCCCACATAACTTGAGCTTAAATTTCATGATATTGAATCAATGACCTCAGAGTTCGGTGATCATACATAACTTGAGCTCAAGTTTTACGATATTGATTCCCTAACCTGGGAGTTAAGTGAGCCCACATAACTTGAGTTCAAGATTCATGATATTGAATCTCTGACCTGAGAGTTCGGTGAGCCCACAGAACTTGAGTTCAAGATTCATGATATTGAATATCTGACCTGAGAGTTCGGTCAGCCCTCATAACTTGAGTTCAAGATTCATGATATTGAATATCTGACCTGAGAGTTCGGTCAGCCCTCATAACTTGAGTTCAAGATTCATGATATTGAATCTCTGACCTGAGAGTTCGGTCAGCCCTCATAACTTGAGTTCAAGATTCATGATATTGAATCTCTGACCTGAGAGTTCGGTCAGCCCTCATAACTTGAGTTCAAGATTCATGATATTGAATCTCTGACCTGAGAGTTCGGTCAGCCCTCATAACTTGAGTTCAAGATTCATGATATTGAATATCTGACCTGAGAGTTCGGTCAGCCCTCATAACTTGAGTTCAAGATTCATGATATTGAATCTCTGACCTGAGAGTTCGGTCAGCCCTCATAACTTGAGTTCANACTCCATTTAAATATTTTTTTTATCAGTGTATGAAGGCAGGAAAATGGTACCTACTTTCTGTCTCTTATACACATCTAGATGTGTATAAGAGACAAGTCTATGGTTCTGACCAAGGACTACTACACACATTGTAATACTATTGTATGAAACAATTATGGGCATATCATTTGTTGATGCCACTAAAACAACAGCATTTTCATAGTGTAGGCGATCGCCTCTGCTAGCAGAGGCTGGACATAGGCTATGCATGTCCTGTGTGTAGTAGTCCTTGCGTTTACCAAATGTTCCGTAGCGTTTAACATTTGTTTCATAAAGAATACCGCTTGTTTCGTTGCGTCAACCACTCGTTTCATAACGTTTTTCACTCGTTTCATAACGTTTTTCACTCGTTTAAAAACGTTCACCACATATTTCATAGCGTTTATCACTTGTTTCATGGCATTTACCACTTGTTTCATAACATCTACCGCTTGTTTCGTAGAATTTACCACCTATTTCATAGCGTTTTATCCTTGTTTCATAGCGTTTACCACCTGTTTCATAGCATTTACCACCTATTTCATAGCGTTTACCACATATTTCACCGCCTTTCCCACCGTTTCGTATCGTTTACCAAGTGTTCCATATCTTTTGACAAATGTTTCATAGCATTTACCACGTGTTTCGAAGCGTTTACCACTTGTTTCAAGGCGTTTACTACTTATTTCATAGAGTTTACTGCTTGTTTCATAACGTTTACCACTTGACTCATAGCGTTTACCTGATGTTCCATAACGTTTACTAATTGTTACATAGCGTTTAACAACTGTTTCTTAGCGCTTAACACTTATGTTATACCATTTACCACTTATTTTACCATTAGTTTCCTAACTTAAATATTATTTTATCATTAGTTTTATTTTACCACTAGTTTCAAATAAGTTTCACTTATTCTAACACATTTACCACTAGTTTCATAAAGTTTACCACTCGTTTCATAGCGTTTACTAGCTATTTCGTAACCTTTACCCCTTATTTTATAACGTTTACACTTGTTTCATAGCGTTTACCACTTGTTTCATAACGTTTGCCACATATTTCATATTGTTTACCACTTCTTTCATAGCGTTTGCAACTTGTTTCGAAGCGTTTACCCTATGTTTCTTAGCGTTTACCACATGTTTCATAGCGCTTACCACTTGTTTCATAACGTTAACCACTTGTTTCGTAGCGTTTACCGCTTGTTTCATAGCGTTTACCGCATGTTTATAGCGTTTACCACATGTTTCATAGCGTTTACCACTTATTTCTTAGCGTTTACCACATGTTTTCTAGCGTTTACCGCATATTTCATATAGTTTACCACTTATTTCATAAGGTTTACCATAATATAAGGTTCATAACTTTTACCACTCGTTTCAAAACGTTCACCACGTGTTGATCCCGCAATAGGAATCCAAAACAGCCTTGATCCCGCTATAGGAATGGATTGCTTCCGCAAACTGAGCTCAGAAACCAAGATTTTTGTCGGATGGAGTGCTGTTTACTGTTTCTTCTTTCATTGTGATATTTTGGCATCCAGAAGATTTTGTTCCTTCGCATGAAGATTCGCTTGACCGCTTCTAAACGCCACACTGCTCAAACCGTGACCACAGCTGTCAGTAGTAGGTACCTCAAGGAGAAGGATCACAAGGGCTTTGAAGAGCGTGATCATCAGTTCCGCTTCTCTTGTTCTGAACGTCCACAAGATCCACATTACTTTTTGCCTGCTTCTTGTAGTTTTTCTCCTACACGTCACCAAACGCGACATCAGTACTCTTCGTCACTGAGATGTCGTGAAAAATTGCTTCTCCCCAATTTCGGTACCGTCCGGGGCCAAGTAGTTGTGTTTTATCCCGACTCTTCCGCTACCTCACATTAAGGGTGAATTTTGCATTTTGTTCACAGTCAAATATTGCAGACAGGTCTACTTGCAAACTCTCGCAAGTCACCTTGCCCACCATTGGTCAGTCCAATTACGGTGGGTGCGGTTCATTGCTGCAACCACTCTAACCTCAATTTCGAAGACTGCATACCAATGTACAAAATCATATTTTTTTAGTCAATTAAGGGAAGGTATGAAGTGACTCTTTCAAATAAACGCGTTGCTTCCTATTTTCAACAGGAAATTTCAAAGTGTTGACGGTGGCTGCGACCCTGATGGCGGGTGCGTATAAGAACTCCGACGTGACGTGGACTGCAAACGATGGTGGCTGCAACTACACCGGCTTCTTCATCAGCTTCTCCGGCCAGGAGAAGTACGTCGAAACTACATCGTCCCAGACAACGATAGAGAACATCCCAGGGTGCAACAGCACAGACGTCATCGTCTCCTTCGGTCTCCCTACCGGAGAGAAGTTTGGTACCACCGCCCAGACGGTGGCGACTCCCAAGCCAGGTACCACAAATGATGGTAGATCTACTCAATCTACTGCCATCAAATACGGGAAATTGAGTACTATGTACATAACTTTGGTTCAGACTATCTTGCTCTGATTCGGACTATTTAGTTTTGTTTAGACTATGCAGCTTTGTTTAGGACTACGTAGTTTAGGGGGAGCGTCTGGGTCCAAAATCGAAAATTTCGGCTTTTCCTGTTTTTATGCTCATCTTAAAGCTGACATTCTGATCTATCCAAAGATACCAAAACCATCTCTGTTCGTATGTCTATATATATATAGCTCGCCGTGAGCGCTGCTCGGGGTCTTGTCGCGCTCTCCTGAACAGTTGCATATGCTTTCACTCAGTCTCACATGCAAACCTATCAGGTTATCTCCTCTTAGAGTTTTCAAGCTACAGCAATGAGAGATATACCGTTCGATTCGCAAAGAAAATATTTAGAGAATGGTCTTAGCTTTTTTGTAATTTCGTTATAGTTTGGATTCGATTTTGAAAAAATGAGGGGGGTGCGGGGTTAAAATAAAGTAATTTTTGAAATATTAATGAAAAATGCCCCCTCTCCCACCCACAAAAATTAGAATTTCAAACAATGCTAAGACCAATCGATAGATACGGTCTTTACGCATCAAATGATTTGCGTCTCGATGTTGTGGCTTGAAAATCCTAGGGGGAGATAGTTTTCTACGGTACCACCTTTTTGGCCGTTTTTTAGTATTTCACGTTTTCTGTCATTTTTTTCGAAAAATTGACACGAACAAAAAAGTCTTTGATTTCTGTTTTACACATGTGTACCAAGTCTCAAAGTGATCCGTCCGTAAATAAAAAAATTTTTGTGGGACCCAGACGCTCCTCTTAAGTTCGGACTATGTAGCTTTGTTTCTCACTACGTAGTTTAGGTTCGAACTATGTAGCTTTGGCACAGGGTATCAGACTGTTTTGTGTGCGACTGAGAAAGGAAGCATGGATCGTGATGTGATGTGAGGCATTTGGAGCCAGATGAATGATGGACTAAGTAGTTTTGGTTCGGACTATGTAGCTATGTTTTGGGCTATTCGGTTTTGGGGAAGATTCATATTGGAATAACACGAGTATATTTAGTTCAACATGTGAACATAAAAGTTAGACTTTTTTTAAAGTAGAGCCAAAGATTTTTCCATAATGTTTCCATCTGATTTGCTTGAATTAGTATTTATCTCATATGTACCCAGGAGTTTCCAGCTCAGAAATATGAATGGGTCAATTATTAGGATACTATTGTGCTTTGATACTTAATAATAATAGGACATAGTACTATCCTAATACTGACCCACTTTTTGTCCGTTGCTCTGATACCCTGGGTCAGAATGACCCACACAAGGCCAATGTTACCACTAAGTTGTCTTCTACTGAGCAGAACCTCAAAAAACCTCGCCGTTTAATGTGGTGCCTGGATTCACAATGGATGCCAACTTGTTCCCGAACAAAACGATTATCGTATCTTATGACGTAAGGCCGTAAATATATCTTTATTCGCTCTTTTTTTCAATTACTTTGCTCTATGTGAATATTTTATTTATTTCTATAGAATAGGCAGTCGTGCAGGCTAATTATTTCATTCAACATAAGCTTCAGATCCAATGGCTTACCTACAACCTTAAAAGTGCTTGTACACCGGGACAGAAGTTTCGGCCAGTACAACACGGGGACAGTAGTGGCGGCCAGTACAAAACAGGGACAGTAGTGGCGGCCAGTACAACAGGGGGATAGTAGTGGCGTCCAGTACATCACGAGGACAGTAGTGGCGGCTAGTAAAACACGGGGACAATAGTGGCAGCCAGTACAACAGGGGAACAGTAATGGCGGCCAGTACAACACGGGAATAGTAGTAGCGGCCAGTACAACACGGGGACAGTAGTGGCAGCCAGTATAACTTTTAAATGCTAACCCACTGTCCACACCCACTGTCCACACCCACTGTCCACACCCACTATCCACCCCCGCTGTTCACACACCCACTGTCCACACCCACTGTTCACACACGCACTGTCCACACCCACTGTCCATACCCACTGTCCATACCCACTGTCCACACCCACTTTTTACCACCCCCGTCTCTAACTCAGCAACCGTTGACCCTACAGGCTTCTCCTGGCTGCGGTAGCTTCACCAAGTTCACCCTTCTTTTTGGCGTCGAATACACGAACTCAACGCGCAATGTTCCGCCGCTTGTCTACCCCATATCGGAACCAAAAGGCAAAATTGAGATCGGCACAAAGAATGTGACTGATATTTGCCTGACTTCCCTCCTCAATATCCTATACAACCAGGCGACGGATGGCGAAAATATCACGGGTTTAATCAGTACCTTCTTTTGTAAGAACCCTAAATTATAACATTAGCATAGGTCCAACTAGACTACATTTATCATTAATTATAATTCCGTTATGATAACCTAACTAGCAATGGAAGGCTGAAAAATTAGACTCTGGGTATTACTAAACTTCACATCCATAGACTAGTATAATACCAAGCATTTCAGGTACAATATTAGGAACGAATTATGTTAGTTACAGTGTTAGGCAGACAATATACGCAAATAGATATATCACATTGCGTACAATATTTGGCTCCTATTCGGACAACATTTTTCACAAAGTGGTGCTAGCGGTCTGGGTATCAAATTTGCAACTTAGTAAGTACTTAATTATAATTCATATAATTCCTTCAACAGACTCGCTCTACGACCCTCTCATAATGGATGTCATTCTTTCACAGTACCTCTCAGTGAACTCGGAAGGGATGACCTGTACCCCTACGAAATAGGTTCGAATGATGTCGTCTTCCACTGGCCTACTAACCTGACAGCTTACGACGTCTGTGGCGTCCTCCCCGGTACCACACTGTCAATCGTGGCCGCTGAAGTCACATACATGGTGCCAATATCTAATGGCACTATCACCTTGACCAACTTGGCACCGGAGCTACCAACATATGTCGATGTGATTGATGATACCTTGGGCATCAATCTGAACTCCATTCTTGTAAGTTCAACGAGTCCACAGGGCAACTTAGTTACCTTGCTCATAAATAAAGTAACAGCAAGGAATAAGAAAAAAATTAAATATACAATGTAGTTAAACATATAGGTAGATCTGGGACAGGTTGATCAAAGGTAGCCTTCTTTGGAGAGCACTTTCATTTGGTCTTGTTGGTGGCTAAATGGAGTTTTCCTCTTACCGATGGACAGCATATTTAGTGATGTGCCTATTGTCACACTACTGTTATCATTCTAACTTATTTCCCCCTACCTTCTTTCCGACAATATACAGTAGGTTAGCGAATAGCCCTTCTGACAACAAATGTTAACTTCCAGTCCTCCTGACAAGACATGTTAACGTCCAGTCCTCCTGACAAGACATGTTAACGTCCAGTCCTCCTGACAAGACATGTTAACGTCCAGTCCTCCTGACAACACATGTTAACGTCCAGTCCTCCTGACAACACATGTTAACGTCCAGTCCTCCTGACAACACATGTTAACGTCCAGTCCTCCTGACGCACATGTTAACGTCCAGTCCTCCTGAAAACACATGTTAACGTCCAGTCCTCCTGACACAAATGTTAACTTCCAGTCCTCACGACAACACTTGTTAACGTCCAGTCCTTCCGACAACACGTTCAAAACTTTCAAACCCAAGAAGTAACAAAGTTGTCCTCATGATTTGGCGATTCTTGTGAACACCTTAGTTGTTTCGCATTTTTCCCAACACGAATACCTGTGCGGGTTCGACCATAGCTTTGTGCGCCAGTTTCTGTCCAAAATCGGCAAGGAGCTGGGCGGTTAAGCACAGCAGAATTGAAGCAGAGAGTTGCGAGTTCGAGACCGCATATGCTGCGAATGTTCTGCGATGTTAGGAATCGGCGACAGGCCTACGGTCTACTAAACGCTGAAACCGCTATTATTATTATTATTATTATTATTATTATTATTATTATTATTACAATGCAATAGTACCTGATTACAAATGTACTCATTCGTTGTACAGTTTTTATGTATCAAGCTGGTCATAGGCTGCATGTGTGTTATTAAATTTTTGGTTCGTCTACAGGTAAAGAAACCGGGTTCTACTGGTTAAGCGGTTCACTGCTGTCGTTCAAGAGCGGTTCTCTGCAGCGGTTCATCACGAACTGCGCCCAGTGGAACACTGCATGCCAAGCCATTACAGTTTCTAATGAGGAACTGAAGGCAGATGAGAACCCGCTTAGTTAAATAAATGTTATTGGTGCAGAAGCGATGTTTTATTGACAATTATAGACGGAGATTAAAAAATTTGACCATAGGTGGTTGGGTGGCATGCACACACCTCTGTGGTAATATGCTGCCACATCGCCGAAGCAGTGGTGGCACTTCCTGCCTATGCTCAACCAACAGCCTGCCGAGTACAACTCTATCCTGGAAACTATTTTTCAACCAATATTTGTTGACATTTGTTCAACAACTGCGCAGTCATGTGTCATGAATGACAAATGTAATTATTCTCCATTAAAAGGAAATTTTGAGAACCAAGCCCAAGCAACTTAGTCTATATTACTTCTTGATTCTGAAATATCCGCCTAATCTTGAAAGTGAAGCAGTGACCTGAATGCGATGGCGTGGCCGGAACCGGAGGCGTGGTCGTCTTAGGCTTAGATTTATCCATTTAATTAGCCCAGGAGCAAACGTCCAGCCTCAGCATGCAATAACTACACTCAGTTTCAGAGCCAAAATCGGCAGACTACGAACAGCGTATTCCAGATTATAATACACTGTTTAAAGCCAATATTTACGCCAATGTGCATTATCTTCAGCTTCAATCAATATTTAAGCATGCTCGCTAATTGGCAGGTAGTTCTGCAGCCGGCCTAGCCTCTTCTGGCCTATTCGTAATTTGTACAAAAATTTCAGCGCGACCTCCATTTTATTTGGAAGGAAGAATCCATTATACAACAAAAATCGAGGTGGAAAGGAAACCGCTCTGAATAAAGACTTTATTAATTCGGAACTCTGTTCATCAGTCATCAGTCATCAGTCATCAGTATCAGTATGGTTCAGTCATCAGTGTGCATCGGTCATCATTGTAACATAACAATATTAACTAATTTACAATTTGTAACATTAAAATATCAACGTTTGTCAAGGAAATTCATCCGGCATGGCAACAGCGGCCAACATTCATTGGTCCGCAGCGCCACGTCATCAGGTACATAGCTAATTACCAGCCGCAGGTATAGACTACTGCTCATTGTCTCATCAGAACTCGTGGGAGGTGGATAGCGCGCTGCTAGTCGTCCACCTTCGGTAAGACCGACATTTGATTCCTAGTAGTTTACCTGCCTTACTCGTCGTTGTAAATGTATCCAGTTAGATCTGT